TAAAGGTACGCTACAGGTTAACTATACAGAGAATCTAGAGTGTATTTAGATGTAAACACTAAACCAGGAATAGACCAGGACTAACCCAGGACCAAAAGAAGTACACATAGGCCTAAATCAAATACTCCTAACGTGTTCTTGGGCAAGACCAATCCCTTGCCTATATGTGAAGAGTGCTGTCACTAAAGGATGATCATACTAATAATTTTTTTCTCTTTTGCAATATGAACTCAGTGAGTGACTTTGAGCTGAAGTATGAGCAGACCGAGGAGCTCGGAGAGGGCGGATTTGGCTCTGTGTTTGCCGGTGTCCGGATATCAGACGCTCAACCGGTAAGATATACAATTTTCATCTTTTGCAAAACTTCAAATGCGCAGTTAATATAAGCTGAAATTACTTAAGATGCAGTAAGTAATTTTTCATGTAGAGGGTCTGTCTCCATGGATTTTTTCCTGGAGACCGTTAAATACAGACTATTTCATGTTGTCAAAGAAAATGAGAGAAAAACCCTATAATTTCACATTTTCACTCTACTCCATGACATAATGATGCCCTAATTTCTGATTTTCAGGTGGCCATTAAACACATCAAAAGAGAGGATGTGGATTTTGCTCCAGTGGTAAGTGACTTTTTTGTTGTTGTTGTTGACATTTGTATAGTTTTGCAAAATCATTTTACTCTGCATTTACCTCTGATTGTGTAATAATTTGTGTTGTTTATATTTTTTCCACTTTTAGACCATTAAAAAGGAGGTGTACACTGTCCCCGCTGAGGTGGTCCTGATGACTAAAGCAGCTCCAGATCGTCATGCGGTTGGAAAAAGCCCCTCTGTGAGTCTCCTGGACTGGTACATCCAGGATCGAGGTGAGAAGGTAGTTCTGGTCATGGAGAGGCCAACCCCATCTGAAGACTTGTTCGACTACCGTCGGAGGAATGGACCACTGCCAGAAGACCAAGCAAAGGTATGCCAAAAAATAAAACAAAAACAAACAAATAGAAAAAACAACAAAAAACATTCATTAAAAAAAACATAGACTTAAATATTTAGCAATAACTATCCGTTCAATCAGTGAGTACATTTGAATGGACAGTAAAAATGAGATAATTTGAAGAACCAGATATCTCAGTATATATATTTTAGTAACTGTTGTATTTGGAAGACAAAGTACAATCGATTTTAAAATAACTCTTTCAGTCTTTTGTCTTTCATTGTTGTCTTCTCTTATTCATTTGCCCTTTT